TGTTTGGTTTGAATCTACTTTGTTTTCGTAACAGTGCTACAGATCAACATGTGTGACGCAACATGAAGTGGTAGGGGTAGGACAAGAACACTGTCGAGTTGTTTTTTTCAGACTGACCACCCACGGGGTTGTACTGTAAGAGTCGTTAGCAGCGTGTATGGGCAATCATGGGCACTCCAACTATCCAGAGTCATTTGCATTTCCTCGCCTGCCAGGTATGGCAGACGATCCTGATTGGCCGCTTGACCGTTTGACCTGTTCATTTTTTTGGCATGTCTTAGTTGGCGTTGCTTCAACTGGGCTCGTTTGGACCCATGTTTATTTTTTTCGTGTTTTTTGTAGATGAGTGCTCTACTAATTGTACTTCTTGGTGCACTTGATGAGCGAAAGGGTTGACAGGCCGCGCACAGGGACATACAGCATGGTTCACTAATCCCTGCTTGACTGAACACCCCGAGCCTCCGAGGGCATCATTTGCTGCCGGAGATTGTGGTATATATAAACCACTAGGTGACTAGGTGCATCATTTATAAGGTAAACCAGGTGCACTTTTGATGACGAGCTCCCATTCTTCTTCTCCGCTTTTGCTGCTTTTGCTCCCCCAACACGGTGGGAATCAACATGTGGATGCCGCCGATGGGCTTCCAGAAGACGAAAGTCCCCTCCAGCTTGGGAGCTGTGTGGCTGAACCTTGCTGGTACATAGAGCTATCCTGATACTTGGAACCATGTTAATCAAAGTGGCCCCAGCAGAGGGAGAGGGATCCTCCACAACAGGATCCCCTAGCTCTCATGAGTTCGCATGGACGAAGCGCCAAGGCACGGTCTACATTGTGACAAGTTCCACGTTGATATCCTTTAACAAGTTCCTGATGCAGCCAGGGAGGCACCGGGGCTCTGCATGGACCGTGCCGTGAGTTCAGAATGAGCGCTGCCAGCTCTGCCTTAGTCACTTAGTCAAGTGTTTGCAGCAAATTGCCGTACCATGATACACTGTTGATAGTGCAGCTAGCTGCCAGATGGGTGTAAACGCACTAGGCACATGCATGATGTTAGTTCTTGCCATCAGCATTTGGGAGAGCCTTTCTTCGATGCTTGGATGCCTGGGGGTGGGGCAGGTTTTCGCATGCAGTGCACCTGACTGCATTCCATATGGCGGAGAACTTACAACAGTGGCATCAGATTATTGCATTGCATTTTTGTTCAGCGGATGGCTTTGAGGATTTCTACCCGGTGCCAGGTGTGCATCAAAGTTCTTGTTACAAGGGATTGAAGGCTCCTTGAAGAGGGGTCTCAACTTTCACTTCAGCAGTTGAGGTGGTCACTTTGGTCCTCTCCTTGATTTTCTACAAGGTAGCGCCCCAGCCCGATCCTCAAGCACCAGCACGATTGTTTCAATATTGGCCGTTGACATTCACATGGCGAATGCCTTGCTTATGAATGCTTATGATTTGTTTGTACTATTTGCTGTGCATGGACTGAAGGTGTACTGTACAGATCGCATCCAGATGTCAAACATTCGTCAATTGCCTGAGGCATGCCTCCTTAAGTAGCAAAGGTAAATTTCCCGAGCGTCCGTCTCGATCAGAGGTACTACCCATCGATGGGTATGGCTAAGGCTGGCGAGATGATTGTCAGGAGACCAATATCCTTTCAAAGATGGATACTATGAGAAAAGTTGGATGAGATGTGTAGGGTAAGAGCAGGCCGAGTACTGTCCTTTGATGTTGCACTTGGCGCCCAGAATGCTACAGTCTTGGTCAGGCAAATATTACTCAAGTGGCAAAGTGGATTGCGCCGTACCTTGACAGCACATTGAGTGAATTGGATAAAGTCCTAGTATCTAAATACCCTCCCCCCAACAATCACGGAAGCTGACCAGGACCTCCTTTTGAGGAAAATGGTCCTCCAGGGGGCTACGTTCCACTTCAGTGATTGCTTCGGGGAGTGTACTTATTGAGTTACATTGCTCCACCGATTTCGCCACCCACGGTGGTCGTTGCTTATAGCATTTGGTGTCCACGCTTGCCTTGTATCCGACGCTGGCTACCCTCTCAGATCAATCAAGACTTGGTGAATCCATTTGATCCTACTTAGCGGGATGAAAGAACACATGAAATAACACAACTCAGTAACTTGACTACGGTACTAGTTGTTGATTTTTACTAGTATTACTAGTATTTGACTAGGTACTCTCAGTCGTTCTTTTGTATTTGACAAGGTTGGGCTTCCTCTTTGCTTTGGCTTTGTACTGCTCGCAACTTGGATCATATCGAGGTCCTCGGTCACGTCATGACATGCAACATTTATCACAATATGTTGGAAGCCGACAGATGCTGACAGGCTGGCTTTCGAGTCAATAGGGTATTCGTTGCAAGCACTGACCACTTGCTGAGTTGTTTTAGCAATGGGGATGGCTTGGCTTCCTGGATGCAGTCACTCCACCCACTTTCGCGCCATTAGAAGACCTGTTCATCGTTCAGATGAGGTGACTTTCTTCACTATTTTGGAGACAATGGGTTGAAAGGAGGAAATCAATAACTCACTTCCACAGTTCAGTTCACACAAAGCGATTCGTTTGTGGGTCTTGTTTCATCGGGAGATCTTCCATTTCAGCGCTTTCCACTCCTCGCACGGCGGTTCAAACCGCCCAGGAATCAGGCCTACAAGTACTCTAGTGTCGCGTTCCTTCAGTTCTGCAAGCAGGGCAATGTGGCGCTGATGTTTTTCATGATGCTTGGCAAACAAGATTTGAGGTTTATCGATCATGGCTCCATGGTTCTACAAACTGCAACTATGCAAGCCAGTAAAGGGAATGGCTTTTACTCGAGCCTGGTGCCCCTCTAAGAGCGAGCACTTTGTCCACCCCCCCACCATGTAGGACTATTTCAATGATTCCGATACAGACATGTTAGGAAACATCGTCCCATTTCGCAGGTCACTGTCAGTGTGAGATTCTTTTGCTTTGTTTGAGATCAATTGCAAGATTGCCAACTCCCACAGAAAGGGCGCTTTTGCTGTCTGAAGTTCTGCCTGTTAGTGTTTCTTGTTGTCCATCAATAGGAGGGCGGCTCTCTCGCGGTAGTAGCCGCGCCAACACTCAGAGTGGTGGCGATGGAGAAAGTCTTGTGTTGGGGAAATATCTTAATTTGGATAAAGGTCTAAGGTGAACAACTAGATGTTGTCCACATGCAGGATCCCTGGTCCACATCTGAAGTCACTTTGCCCCTTTGTTGAGCAAACATGGGCGGAACATGTTGCACCTGCAAGACTGTTTTAACAACTCTGAACCCAAACAACACGAACCACCAGGCTGGAAGACGAGCCTCTTCAAGCTAGGAGGTACAAGACGGGCCAGCTGGGAGGTACAAGACTTGGGTTTGCTGTGTTTGTTTTATCGCCCAGGTCTTGTGCGGTGGGCAGCCAGGTTTTCAGCTGGCAGAAGCTCGCCGACACTCGGTGCAACGTCCCGGCCGCGGCGTTTCTGAAAGAAACACAAAGAAATCTCATGTCGTGGGGAGTTTGAACTGGTTGCACTGTTTGGGCGAGTTTCATGTATGAACTTTATTGAATCGGCCTGGTTTCCAAACATTTTGCCTGGGCACTTGCTTTGCTTATGGCATGGGGCGATCCTAGTCACTCGTTTTGGGCTACGAGATTCAATTGATGTCATCAACATGTTCTGACGGTTCTGGGCCTACAAGTTCGTACCTCTACGTTTCGATCTCAACTTGGCATAGACTATGACTTGGCTCCGTCCAAGGTGCTGAGTATTGTCATTGCCGGTTGCACCACGTCACTTGGCAACGGCTTTGTGATTACAAAGACATAGCCTGGAAACGAGCCGGGCCAACCCCACAGATCAGAGAACCAGTTTTTCGGGGGTCCTAGAAGTGAACATGGTTGGGTTTCTAGTTGAAGCTGTCCCGAGTATATTAAGTTTAGAATGGCAACTCTCAAGACCTGTAGTGGATTTTGTGTTTATCACGACCCTATACAGCCTATACATGCACTATGACTAGTCACCCCTGAGTCTAGTTCATCACAGCTGGCTTTTGGGGCCAACTGCAAGCCTCAAAGGCGCAGGAAAGATGGCAAGAACTGACAGGCACATGGCAGGGTCATGTTTTGCTCAATAATCCCCATTGGTCCAAAGGCTTCACCACCAAATCGCACTGAAAGCGGAACGTCGGGGGGTTGCTGTCAGCCATCAGTGAATCAGGTGTGCACATGGAGAGATCCACTTTGTGCCATTTGGCTGCATTTCATGTCAGGTTGGATGGCAACTGATACTCTAAGACGACGTAGCCAGCAGCCGCGTTGAACCAAGCCGACACGTGCGTAGGTCAAAGACTCCCAAAAAACAGCGGGTATAAGGGTTTGGGGGGGCTTTGACCCATGGCCACAGTCAACCAGTCAATTTTGCGGGGAGTTTATAAAACGGTTTTTGAAGGCAGCTCTTGTTTTTGAACATGTTTAGGCCCGGGCTGAGTGCTATTTTTGTCAATGTGGCACTCTGTGTGAAAAGGAGCCTTTTAACATTCGTTTCGGGTGGGTTGAGAGTGCAGAGTGTGCGCAGTTGGGGACGTTTGTGGAGAGGTGGGGCCCAGAAAGCCACTATTTGCGCATCAGGATGCTGGCTCTAGATCTCATGGCCCGTTTGCCGATCCACAATTCCAACTATATAATTACTGTAACTGGGCATGAGGTCATTTGATTTGTATGGAAGTTGGGATGATTGTTTACTTCCCAGACATACACTGCCCCTTAACAATAAGGCTATCAATTATATGGCACATGGTTCTCCTGTGGCCCATGTTCCAATGCATCATCGACGGTGCAAGATTCAAGACGGTAAAACCACCCAGATCGTAAAAATTATCAATATGGCTTACAGTAATCCACATCGGAAATTCAGTTGTGTGCATTTGCCTACTGACCTACTGACCTCCAATCCAAAAAGCGACACTCGGTTATTTTTATTCCGTTCCTGGAATGAGGATGATTGGCCTGATTCTACAATTGGCATCCCAGCTGACGGAATGTAGCAAGAATCTCATTGGAGAAGCAGATGCTCGGACTTGGATTTCGATGAAACGACACATAAGACTCACAAGACCTAGGTCTGGAAGACGTGTGTTTGGACTTTGAGCCTCCATGGAGGCCCATGGAGGCCCCGGACTTTCATGAATCCAAAAAAGGACCTCGCGGAACCCAAATTGACATCATTGGTACCCTTGGCTGCGATTGTCATGTGGAACAGCTTGAATTCCTGCGGCCGATTTGGTTGACGTTTTCGTTGCGATTTGGGGCAAACGCCGGGTCTCTCCAAGGGATCGATGCCGGGTCTTTCCAAGCTGAAACAATCCTTGGAAAGAACGATTCTCATGAGAAACACAACCATGCCCACTGTGTACAGAGTCCGTTTCTATTGAAACAAATGTCCATAATTACATGTTATACGGCTGGGGTGGGTACAGGGGGTCGTTGTGTCTTTGGTGCCAAGTACATTTGGTCTCACCGGTGTTTTGCAAACTCCCTCAGGTCATGGGAGGGGCTGGATTGAAGTTAGATGTGCTGACCTTTGTCCTGTTCCAGGCGCGGACAATCGAAATGGATCGAAGTGGATGTTGTGGTTGTTGGTCATGAACTTCCATGAGTCCATGAGCACCCCACAAAATACTGCGTTGCTCAACGAGTCAAAGCAAATTTGCATGCCGAGTCCAACCAGCCGTTGACGCGAACATATCCGATCCGATTGTGAGTCCTTGAAGACTCTTCATTCAACTCTTCACAGACCATCCCTTCCTTTTCGGTAGCAGACTGGCCTTTCAACAGCATAAGCCCAAAAATACTTCAGCTCAAAACAAAGGAGTCATGCTTCTTTTGACTGGCTTTCTCAGGCACCTTTCTCATTGCTTTTCTTGGCAGTTGGGGTCTTTTGCTCCTGGACTCCAGATGTGGTATCGGATTTCAAGAAGCAGAACCTCAGCTGAAAGAGCTCACCATGTCACGGCTGGATCACAACAAAGAGCTCACCACTTGGCATGACTGAAGTATTTACAGAAGTATTGAGGAGTAGTGAAGTATCCAAACAAAAACCTCATAGTTTTGTCCAGGAAAGCAGCACCTATATTTAGTTGATTTGGCTGTCTATTGCCTGGCTGAATTTCATCGGTTGAAAGATGGAGTCCCGCTGTCGAACTAAGTTGGCACTGGCTCATTGTGAATGCTTGCATCGCTTTCTTGCTGAATGCGCCGAGCTTAGTAACGAGTACTCCGAGTACTGTGTGAACGGTATGGTGTGTGTGTGTGTTCACACTGTTGCTCTCAGTGGGAAGTTCCAGCGTACACTGCAGTGGGCCGTGGTCTTTTCTTCAACGTCACTGTCATTTTCGGAACCTCTTCATTTTGTAATTGTGCGTAGGAGTAGCGGGAGTAGTAGTCGTCGTCGTAGTAGTTGTTGTTGTTGTAGTAGGAGTAGGAATAGGAGTAGGAATAGGAGTAGCAGGAGTAGGAGTAGCAGGAGTAGGAGTAGCAGGAGTAGGAGGAGCAGCAGTAGCAGTAAGAGAACTACTATAGTAGTATATAGTTTTTTGTTTATGTTGCATTCCTTCAAGGTTGATGTTTCATGACGTTTTTTGATTGCATCGAGCACCCCCCTTGAGCGCCAAGAATGCCTTCGGCAGTTTCTTTTTTCAAGCGCCATTTTAGGACGAACGCGGCTTTACTCAGGTGCTGATAGCAGTGACCTTGAAGAAACTCTCAGCCTTGGCCTTTGTGATCATTGGAGTTGTCAAGGACAAGAGCCGTTTCGAGACTGCAGCCCTAGCAGCACCAGTCGTAGAAACAGAGGACCGTGGCGGGCTTCAGAAGTGGTTTCCCCTACACATGTCCATAAAAAAGGGAGTAAACATTTGTTGGATCATTCTAGGCTTTGCAGATGGCTCAAACAAACCGCGACAAGGAACGCAGGTCCATCTCATCCTGGAGGGGGTTTGCCATTACAGAGAATGCAGTGACTCAGTCTTTTGCCCAATGCATGCTAATGTCACCCGGCTTTGGGACGCTAAACTGTTCGAGGTTATGTGTTTGACTGTAGATGTTGTGACCTGTGAGTTCTTGAGCAATGCCGAGCAACGCGAGCAGTCAGTAGGACATTCAAATACCTCTTATTTGCTAATTGATCCTGATTGCATCCCTTGGTGGGTTCCCAATGATGGCCTGCAGCTCTTCGACCGCTGGAAAAGCATCATTGTGCTTTCCGGCCTTCCTGCATCTTATTTTGATCGAGATGATCATGCTACCGCTCTTCCAGTACCCAATTTTCATATTTCTTCGCAGTGTTGCCACGGGGCGGGGAATGTGGAGTGTGCCAGTCGAGCACCGAGCACGAACAGGGCTTGTAGGAAAAGTATCACCGGTGGATCTATTCATAAGCCATGTTCGAATTCCATACAGTGGTGGTGGCTACGTTAACTTTGCCGGCTATGTCCCACTGTGTCTCAAATGGGTTGGCTTGCTCCTCTCGTCGCTTGGATTTGGTTTGGTCGACCCCGATGGGCTCAGGGCACTACTGTACCAGAACATCCCGGTGGTACACGCTTCGGTGCAGAATTCTAGAGATCATAACCTTGTTGGGTGTGTTTAGGCAACTTGGTGCAGCCGGAAGCTCTTGTTTGGGCCTTGCGGGAGAAGTTGGTTGAAGGGCTTCTCGATGCTTTTCGTAGAATGCCTCAGTTTACACGACCTGCTGCCTTGCTTCAACTTTGGAATAGAATAGAGGACTTTGATGGACTTTGAGCGAATTTGCTTTCAGCTGGGCATCGTCTTCAACAGCAACGCCATTGTCCACGAGTTTCATGGTGATTTTGTTGCCGAGCTTTCGGAGAAGGTATCAGTGTGGTGCATGACATGACCCTGAGGATGGTGGACAAATTGTTCTTACGATGCTCAGAACAGCCGAAGGAATGATCACCGTTTCACTGAGCGACCGGTTTTGCTCTCGCGCAACCGGTCAACGCGGGCTCCGACAGAAGGCAGGTTCCCTTCATTGGCCTCGCCAAAGGGTCAAAAGTGTGCCGTCGAATCGGATTGGCCCAGTGTTGAGATTGCTTGTCACTGATCACAATGTGTGTGTTTATTTTTTGTTTTGTCATTGCGAACTGTACATCTTGCCTAGATTGAATAAGAAATATATACAGACAGTAATTGTCCATGGAATCAGCAAAACGCGGACAAGCAAATCAAGTCAAACGCGAACCATGCGATGCGGGATTTCCTCGTTTGCTGACATTTGAGAGTGTGCAATTGATGCCTTGGAAGGACATGGTGATTGTGTCTTCTTCCTCTTTGGTCTTTGGCGAGCCTTGGAATAAGCAGTCGGTCGGTTAGTCCTGATTGCTTGCGTGTAGTATATAATTATTGTGTGGTAGTTTTTGCGTTGGCACGTCGAAAAGACAGCAGCAGCACCACTTGAGACAAAAAAACATTGCATTGTCGGCCTTATGTCACACAGACTGTCACACAGGCCATGGCAATCATACTTTTTCGATCTTTTTTGTTCATAACATTTTCGTTCATGTTCTTTGCATTTGCTGTTTCTTTTCTGCTCTTTTTATCCACGTGTTGTTCAATGTGTTATTTTTTTGACTGGGGAGTGATGGACACTGGCTCGGTGTGTTTCTTTCGACCTCAGCCCGGGTAAAATCAGATTGTGCGACGAGTAGTCTCACCATTCCGAACCCGGTGCCGACGTCCGGCACTGAGGATCCCATTAGCCGAGCACAAGAGGTTGGTTTCGCGGTGACCATCACAGGTGTTCTGCTGTGGAGCCGCTTGAAGCTGCAGGAGCAGGCTGCCAGACCTAAGAGACGGTGGGACTTTCCACCCTTGGTGACGAAGCAAAACTGGCAGGAGTCGAAGATGCCTATGGCATCCTATGGCCTACTTTGCTTGATTCTTTCATTTGGCTGCTTGTTTAACAACACCAGCCCTGCCCTCGCTGCATCATTTTGCACTTGGTTTTGTGCTTTTCATACTTGAGGGATTTTATGGGAACCCTCCCACCATAGAATAAGCTCTAAGCTATATATTATGTTGTTTCCCTTGCAGGTGTTGCATGGCAAGTTGTTTGAACGAGTTCAGTTCGTTCAAAGACAAGCTGGATGAAATTCCAGTTCACTAGATAGGATATGATATGATAATAAGATAAGAAAACAAGGTCACAATTTGTTTGACATTCTAGTGTGTATAAGGATGCATAAGGTGACACAATGACTGTTTGACTGTCTGATACTAATTGAAATAGTGTTTGTTTCTCTTCGTGTGTCGTTTGGATTTGCGATATTCACTTGTACTGCCAGTGCACATCGGGTCCTCGCCAGGCTGAACGACAAAGAGAACCTGAGCGATTACCACTGGCCAAGCAGGAGGGCAGCTAGCCATACGCGAAGTCACTGTGCTTTCAGCTGACAAAGTCAGTTCTTTTTTCAGCTGACAGAGTGCAAAAGCCACATGAATGGGCGATATGTGCGCATTTGGCCATGCTAAATCCCAATGACCTGCTCAATTTTGCTTAGTAGGTTTCTGAGGCTTACACAGATCCTTTTGGTGCCCCCCACTGTTGCTGTCGGAGAAACTGTTGTGCTGATTTGAGAGACTGTCGGGCCCTTGTTGTTGGATCATTTATTCAAGGGACTCTCTCTCCCTCTCTCTTCCACGTGGGGGGGCTGTTCGGAGCAGCTTCAAGCAGCTTCCCGGCGATGCGGCTACACCAGGACACCATCAAGATTCGGAAATGATCGAAGGCTCCATTGGAAGGTGCGGGCGTGTGACATCAAGGTGAGGAAGCATGACAATTTGGGACACTTTTGGGTGTATCATGTCCAATCTACTGTAATTCCTTTGGACAGTGAGTAACCAAGAGGCAACTGTTTACTGTATACCGTATACCATAGGCTTAGGTCATTAGAGAGGTGCTTGGTGTGAAGCAAGCATGAACATGTCCAAATGTGGAAGCACATGCAGTCACATGCATGTATTTGCTGACTGCTTTTGCCCTGCACATACCACCCACTGACTTCGTTCGAACTTCGCTTGTGAGCACGTGTGAGGCCGGAATCACCTGGTCACTGATCTCATGAGCTTGAGCCAAAAGAGGAGCTGCAGGGAGGGAAGACGACCACATCCAGGACTCAGGAGTTCCATATTTGGGGCCCCTTAAGTGAGGAGCCGAAAAATCCATGGACGTGGTGCACCCGCTGCGGCACGTAGACTCGACTGCTCAGGGCTTGCGGCTGGGGATGTTGGAAGTCCATTGGTTTGAAAGTCGGCCCAGCACAGCTCGTGAGCGGACGGCGCTTGAGGCCCAACCTCGAATGGGCATGGAAGGCGGCGATGTTCGCAGTTCCTTTCGGTAGCAAGCGAGCGTGGCAGCTCAAGGGCGGGGCTGGATCTGAGCGGGGTTTTGGCTTCGTGCCACGGGGAATATTTTCACAGCAGGTGGCACCAAGTTGATTGACTCGAATAATTCCTGCGCACCAGCTACCATGAGTTGCAGTGGTTGACATGACATCAGATACATGAGTTCAGGCAATTGAGGCATGTTATGTAGGGCCGGTCGGAAGGATGCACATGTTGATCAGATCGTGATGTGCTGCCTTTTGAGTGGTGGAGATGTGGTGCTGGATCGCAGCCATTGCTCTCCCAAGGAGACGGCCAAACACAGTCCAGAGAGAGGAAGGGAGAGCTAGCAAGAGCACGCACGCGTGTCAACAAGAGCTCGACCCCCTTCATGGCACATGTTGGTTCGGGCGTTTGGAACCTTTGTGGAAGTTATAGAGTCAGAAAGAAACACGCATTTTGTCTTTGGGGTTCACCAGCCCTGGTCATGTCAAGACGATCATCTCCCGTGTGATGCTTGGCTTGCCGCAATGCCTTCAGGCAAGGGAGGGCCGGGCTGTCGGGCGGGCTGGTGATATTGCAGATGTTTCTTTCGGAACGTTGCAAGTCAGAAAAGTCACACACCATAACTGTCAGACTTGTTTCGTTAATAGACCCATCCTTCCAACAAACAATAGGGTGAGAGTCCAGAGTGTGATGCGCCCCACAACATGTCCAGCGAGTTTTGCCTATGACCTAGGAATTGCTTGTGAAACGGATATTGGATTTCCTTTTGTTGAATTCCTTCTCATTTTAGAAAAGAAGCAAAGGGACATGAACGGGAATTCTGTTCGTTGATTTGCCTTAAGAAAGGAAGCAGAAGGAAATCAAGAAAGGAAGGCAAATCAAATGAGATCAATGGCTCGATGGTATGTCTTGCAACCCGTTTATCATGATCCCAGCCACCAAAACATGATACTGCAAAAACAATCAAAACATATCAACACATATTTTTAAACATATATACTATTAATATTGAATTCCACAACGCTTGTGGACTACCAACTTGACAAAATTCGGGGCAATGTTTTGGATGCATTTGAATGGTAGGTGTTTGAAGAGTGTTTCATGTCAGAGTTCAATGATTCAAGCAAGTAACAGCTAAGTACAAAAGAATCCAAAAGAACAAATGACTAAGCAATAGAAAACTTGGCTAGGCCACCAAACAACTGAGAGAAAAGGGACACTCTAATGATATCAATCTATATAATGATTCTGATTAAACAAGCACATCCCAGCCACAAATAAAAGAGTTGAGGGGTCAGGAATTGTTTCAAACACACTTGTTATACTTTCCCTTTTGCTTGTTTGACCAACTCAACAGCAGTCCGCAAAAACGCAGAGATGTAGCAGTGATGTACATATACTATGTAGATCAATCCATATAGGATATTATAGGATATGGTAGATGAAGTGGCAGGCAGTGTGGTAGGCCATCATCCCTCAGGTTGCTGTAGGGGTTGTAGTCAGTTTTTGATTTGTTGTCGACCGAGATTAGCAGAAAGAGGGTTGCATCGACCGAGAACATGAAAGACCTACCGCTGCTACGAAGCATGCATGATCACATAGGGTCTCCAAATTCCATGGGTGTGGTGCATGATAGAGATACATGTGGTGCATGATCCTCGGGATGTGATCCTTGGAAGCTAGACATCAAGATTAATGCGTGCATAGTAGCACCATTTCCATTCAGAGATTAGTTTGACACAAAGAACAATTCTTATCTCAAATGTTACCCACATACATTGTATGACACAAGTCATTCGGGAGCACTGGCAAGGGTCGACCCGCCAGGCTTAGTGATGTTTGTTGCAAGGTGACCCAAACTTTAACGGATTCAGCCGGCATGCAGGGCATGAACGAATCCCTTCGGATATGCATGTTCCCTTGACCGGGCGTTCCGTCTCGAAAATAACCCTCCAACCGTTGGTCGGAGCCACACGCCCACCCTCAAGAAATGCAGGCGCTCGGGATTTGAGTAGCACCACTGGGAGCACAGCTTGGAGGCTTGGAGAGAGGGAACTGGCACGAGGAAAGGGAGTTGCACAAGGATTTTTTTTGGCATGTGAGAACATGAGACCTCCAAGGGTTTCCTCAAACTCTCAGTCAGATGGTTTTCTTGGCACAGGTCAAGATGTTGGTGAATTAAGGCTCGCCTTATTCAAGCTCAGATCCCAGTCGACTAGTTGTTTCATAAAATATTGTCTCACCATGTCTCACCTTTGCTTTGATTCCTGTCCTTTAAAGGACTGCCTTCCCTGCAAAATGAGTTGCCCCTAGCCTAGCATCCCCATGCCATACGGTCGTTGGCGCATCGCCGCTTCACTCCTTGACAGGAGCTTCGCAGACCTCGTGCCGTGGCCAAGATCAGCGGCGAGACCATTGGAATGGCGTCCCCCAAAATGGGCGTTGCTCATGGTGTGTCTAAGAATGTGTTTGCCCCGGGGAAAACACACCACAATGAGAATGTGGATGGATAGTAATAAGATACACCAAACTATTCTGAGGAAATGTGAAGGATTTTGTTTGAGAGATCAATTGTTTCATACCATCAATTGATATTGGTGCTTATTGTGGTGCACCATGGTGCCCCACAAAAACTGTGATGAACCTGCTGCAGCAGAGGGGCTTTCTACCGGGGAGTTGCAAGTACACCAGCTGACATAGACTCGAAGGTCCGGTAAAGTCGATGCTGAGCGCAGATAGGTTTCCTCAATGCCTTAGGGCCACACCCACATCATGGTTTGATCACTTAGCCTTGTAAGTTGGACATTCGCAGTGGTTACTGTACATTCCGCGGCAAAATCAGGGCAGATGTGCTTCAAAGATCAACAAGGCTGAGAGGGCCAGGATACTTGGGGCATTCTCCAATGTGAACATGGGCATTAGCCAATGTTGCACACGCGCTCATTTACAGGACGCATTTGACCTTTATTGATGTGTATCCCAGGCCTATATTGATGTGTATCGAAGGTCGGTTGTGCTGTCATGCATCCTTAAGAAGGAGCAGGTACTTGTTGATGGTCTCAGTCCGTGTCATTCCGTTGATCTTTCTGGGCCAATGAGGTGTTGAGTTCCAGACGCAAGCAGCATTGCCCGTTGCCCTTGTTTGTAGCCCCGAGAGGCCAATGACAGTCGGGCCAGTTCAAAGAGCTCCCGCATGAGGACGACGTTAACCTGCCACCCGTTTTCTTTGTTGCAGGGCACTGGTCCTCAATGATCTTTGGGAGGTCCTCAATGAGGTCATCATGAGGTGGGAAGAAAACAAAGAAGATCCGTCCATGCAGGGAAGATCCGTCCATGCAGGCATGATGTTGGTTGAAATAGTTCGGAAACAAGGTTTTAATGGTATTGATCATGGATTTGAGGCCTCACGTCCTCGCGCACTTTTCAGGACCAAGTCCAAAGGGCTTCCATCCTTGCCACCCATCGTGCCGGCCACATGGCCTGATGGAGATTTCCTTTTACATCTTGGTACTACTAGTATCGCCGTTGTTGCTAGAAGCAATGCCCTTGTTACTAGTAACATCTAGTAACCTAGTAGCTTTTTGTTACTAGTTATAGCTCCAACCTCGACTTTTCGTCCAGCTCATGGAGACCAA